CGTCCTCTCGCGAGCTCGGCTCCGCCAGACCTTGCGGCCTGAACCTGCAAGCCGGGCTCCTCGGTTTGTCGGCAGTACGGACACTGGCAGAGGAAGAAATATTGCTCCTTAAGTTGTTGCCGCCTCACGAAGACGTCCGGCTCGTGCAGATAGTGCGGTCCGTAACAGTTGAAGACCTCATCGCCGGCGCGAATGGACTGTGCGCACCTGAGGACGATCCAGCCTCGCTTGAAGAAAGAACGCAGGATCGTGCAAAATGGGAGAAAAACAGATCGCTTAACAAGAGGCCTCGAAAGAGACTGGAAAAGCCTTGCACTTAACCCTGCTTTCACTTGGCCTGACCAGAGGTCAGTTGGTCCCAAATGTCGGCGAATGGTTCGGAGAGAAGATAAAAATCCAATCACAAGGCGCAAAGCACAAGAAGGGAGACTTCCTTACGCCAGCGTGGGTTATAAAGTAGACAAATGTTCCTGAAATCCCAAAATCCTTAAACAACTTATGGTTGGTTCAACTATCAATAGTCGATGTGAGTTTTAGAAAAACAATCGAGAGACCTTGTTGTGTTGACATTCATGCCGTGTTAAAGAGTGCGTTTGATGAAGATATTCGCGTAGGACAAGCTCAGCACAGTCACAGGCTGACTCTGAAAGTGTTTGATGCTACTCCGTTGCTCACATTGATGCGGTCCACGAAACAGCCTCCTTCGGGTCCGGTGAAAAAGGGATGATATTTCGTCTCTCCAGTCGCTTGACAGATATTTTTAATTATTATTTATAAAAATTCAAGCAAAAAACTAAAATATAACATACATAGAGAAAGAGAAATATAAAGATATAGCCATGGAATTATCCGGTTGATTCCTTTCATGCAACTCCATGCACTTTATGGCGGAATAGCACAAAAGGCATGAAGCGTTGCTCAAAAGATGGGCGGGATGAGCATGAATTTAGATGAAATCATAACACAGTCAAGTCACTCTCTTTTATTAGGTGGCTCGGACAGTCTGTCTAAATGTGCCCCTTTGAGTTTACTAATCAAGCTTAAGTACTTGTTGCCCAATCTAAAACTCTCATTCCTTAAGTTACGCTAATTTTGAAAGTCTCTCTTATTACGCGTTTCGACGCCGACGTGTCATTATGAGAAAAAAGAATGCTTTCAAGACCATTAAATCTGATAAAATAATCCAATAATCTGTACACAATGGCAATCCTCCTACGACTGGCGGTGCGGTGGATTCACGAAGCCCTTCAGACCAACTTCTCCTTCGAAATAAAAAGTCGAGATACACATAAACAAGAGCTAATGATAGTCCCTAAAATAGCATCATCTACTAGGTTCGGGACAAGAGATGGTCGACATCAGGAGCCCTCGAGTGGTTTGACGCTGACCAGCTCGAGAAAAGAGCTGTGCATTCGTGTCGCTAGGGTTGGATTTAGGATAAGCTGAGCGTTTCGATCCCAGACATTCCAGTATATATATGCAGAAAAACTGGTGTTCAAAGAATTCCTCAATGGATTAATGTTGGAGTAAGTTCCATTTTGTGCGAAGAAACGAGTGGAATGGATCCGTAAGTTGGCCACCCCAAAGGCCGAGAAAGAGCTGTAGATTTGTGCGAATAAGTCCTCGGCTCACCGCTCCACAACACCGAGGAATCCTTGTTGACCTTTCGTCCATAATTTAGCGGACACCGTCAGAAGACACCAAGCTTCACGATAATTTGCCAAGCCCTTTTTTAGTCGTTGACTGTCGAAAGCTCAGCAACACCTCATCTGGTCACGGGACGATAGGCCGAGGGTTTATTCGTAAAGTCACAGCCTCAAGGCAAACAACCACCATTGACTTCCGATGAGACCAACTTGCAATTCCTTTCAACTCACCTCTTCGAACAAAACGAAAGGTATATAATATACATGAAATGTCACATAAGGAAATGAATAGACCTTACATTTTCATTGCATTTCGCATAGCCCTGCTTTCCCAAGAGATATTCTCATCCAGAGTTCACTACAGGTTCGACCTCGCCTAGGTCTTATACACATTCCCGGCGGTACTCGAACCATGACTGTGCAGCGTGCAATCTATACACGTCAACCACTAAGCAACATGGTTCGAGCCCCGTTGGGAGTGTTGATAAAACCTAAGCGAGGTTGAAACCGCAATTCACCCCTGCCTGGATGAGAATACTGGGAACTTCTGGGAAAGCAAAGCTATATGACATTCGATGGAAATGTAAAGTCTACCAAAAGCATTGCGTGAAAAATCAAACTACCAGTACCGTTATTATCTCAAACGAAATGAACCATTTGTAGTCTCGAAAACCTATTTACAAACAATTCGAATGTAGACTGAGAAATGTGCACTGATTTCATTGTGGGAAATTTGACAGTAAACAGCCCAAAATAATTAATCTTCTCGATCAGGTGCCCCCTCAACACTCCTGCTATGCTCGGCACCGCAGTGACTCACTCTAACGCCTACTCATCGCAATGACGCATTTGGTATCCGCGACTAAGAAGCTGTTTGCAAAAGATGCATTTCTCAATGCCTCACCCGAGAGACTTGAACAATCGCCAGTCAGCTGAGGTCGAGTAGGCTTTCCCCACCAGGTTATCCACCGTACACACAGGCTACACATGACTGATTCACTTTGGCTGTCCATCAATCACTTGAGTCTAACTCCAGCTACTGACCTAAAATCAGGTCACTTCGGCTGCACCAATCAGAAGCCGACTTTGGCGACCCACAAAGTAGTCAGCGAAGTAGAGGTTTAGTCACCATAGGCCGCAGAAGATAACGAAGAAAAGCAAGTTGAATTGTGCCACAGATATTAAGAATAGGCCTCTCGGTTCCGGTTAATTTTGCTTAAGCTTCTAAGGTATGAAGACCAAGATGGTGTGGCCTTTTGTGTGGTCGCAGTCTCCTTTCGTTGCATAGAGGTTGCTTGACCTTGCTCTTGCAATTTCGTCATATTGGTAGGAAGACTTAGAGGAACTCACCTAGTCCGGAGTCCATTGTATACAAAATCATTTCCAAAGTCGGACCGTGGACGTAGTACATTTCCGGACGCTTCGCCGGCATCGTCAATGAGCATCGCCATTCTTAGCACCTCACAACAACTCGTCAAAGAGACAGATGAAGCCGATCCTTTGACCAAACGTGTGCTAAACAGTTGTGGTATCTCCCCTTCTGCCCTGGCCTATTCACATTTCCTATATCCTTTATCACACCTTCACTTTTACCATTTTTACACATCTAAATAAGCACGGTAAAAATTGTAACAGTGAAGGTGTGATAGGAGGATATAGAAATGTGAATAGGCCAGGGCAGAAGGGGAGATACCACAATTGTTTAGCACACGTTTAGTCAAACGATCGGCTTCAGTTGTCTCTTTAACGAGTTGTTATGTGGTGCTAAGAATGGCGATACTCACTGACGATGCCGGCGAAACGTTTGGGAATGTACCACGTCCACGGTTCAACTTTGGACTCCGGATAAGGTGCGTTCCTCTAAGTCTTCCTATCAATATGACCAAGTTGCGAAAACAAGGTCAAACAACTTCTTTACTTAACCTTGTCTACCAAAAGTTATTATCATCTCCCCTGAAACGGGCTGCAGTTTCGATCTCGTTTGAACTGGTCTCCACAACGTTCCCCAGCAGGAATCGAAGCAGGGTAGTGCATATTTTTCGTTTCTAGTAGGTTTTCTTTCAACACTTTAAATGAAACCGGGTTAATATAGCTCATATATGATGGTAGATTGTCGAAATCATACGATGCTCTACTCAGGTTCGATTCCTATTGAGGGTGCTGATGAAACCCAATCTGGATAAGAACACAGTTTAAGAAACAAGGTCTTCCATCAGCTCAGTGGCTGCAAACCTTATCTAAGTTTTGAAGACTGAGTTTCGATGAATTTCCGAATAAAGCATCGTTGGGAAGACTTTCTTTTTTATGAAAGTGCATCAAGAAGAGCTTCGAAGGTGGGTCCCACCAGAAGACGAGGGCTGATTACCGTTGCGCCATAATTGATTTGGCTTGAATACGACGTTCAGGTTGACACAATCCACGAGGAATTCTACCTCATTTCGGCTGAAAGCGGACTGGGCTTTTGTCCATCACATGACGGACATCATCAGAGTTGAAACTAATTCTTGTAAAAGTCTCAAATGAGCAAATACTGAGTCAATAAGACGTATTGTATATACTTGGATTGCATTTAACTCCAGTCAGTTTGGTTACATCTCTCGTCACAAGCCAGTAAGCAGTTATGTCTTAACTTAGGCAGTCACTCGGAGCATAACTCATCGACACAATGTCACACGGATACCAAGCGAACCTAGCCACCGCATCGAGCATTCCGGTTGACCCAATCATAACGTGATATCAGAAGTACACAAGAGCATTTTAAGACAGAAATTTCTTAGACTGAGGCCTAGTCTACGCCGCTTCACTTGTGCCGTTGTGACCCTCTGTGACTGAGTACACTCTTTTGCACCGACACCATATTCCGCTGTTTGCCTTGTTTGCCCATTCAGAATCCTTCGTTCTAACGTTTCTTGTATTTTACGAGTGGTACACGATGAATCGTTTTCTTGTTACTCTATACAAGACCGGGGTGCTCTAAACGGTAAATCGAAGCCAAACAAATATTTATAATGGAGAATTTAGATCATTAAATAATCATAAATAAAAGTGAAAATGTA